TGACTCGCTTGCGAGCTTATCCAACCTGCCTTTGTCTCTAACATGCGAACGTGAGTATGCTATTCCACATAGCTTCGATATCAATACTCGATTTTGCGGCGGCTATCTGCTCCGACGTCAGCTTGCACATAAGCACTCTCGACAACGCCGAAGTTGGATCTACAATCACGGCGCCCTCGTCTATCACCCATCAAACCCAAGCAAAGACCGTTGGATTTGTACCCACTGTAATAGTGCTGGTTATGAGACTACCTTTGATCCAGTGTCCTCAACAGCAGCAGCAGGGCATCTACTCCGAAAGCATAACATCGGCCAAGTAGAGCGAAACAATTCACCCGACACACATGGCCTGTTCGACCTTGACAGCTGTGTTGAAGACAACAGAATAAGCACCTTGAATGCTCAACTCAGGGCTATGGATGAGCGCCTCCGCACGTTCACGAACATCGACTTCCTTGAATTCCAGCGGAGGCTAGTTGATTAGGTAGTTCTTAACAACCAAAACTATGACGGAGCGTCCTCATTACAAGCGAGAGAGCTTTTCAAGGCCCTCAACCCAGAGATTGATAACAGGTTTCTATACTAAAGTGGCAACTCTATTAAGCGACTAATTAAGGCTCACTATAGCTATGGTAAGCGTGCTCTCCTATTCTCTCTTTCTCTTGACTTTATAGACTGACTAGGTCCTGAAGCTATTGGTGTACTTCATTGCTCTATTCAAGCCGCACGATCGAAGATCTCGATTAGCTTTGATATCTGGTCATCGTACAATCACCTCTCCTTCCTTGGCGTTGAAGCCCACTACCTGAATACCGATTACGAGCGGGTCGACGTCCTTGTTGCCTCCGACAGATCCACGGCCGTCACACTGAGAGGCTATCTGCGACCTTATACGCACAATCTGCAATGAGCACGAAATTCATAGCAGTAGCATTGGCTATATTGTTAGTGACAATGCCTACAATAACGACGCTGCCTGCCAGCTCCTTGGAGATGTGTTCTCCTTCGACTGGCGACATCGTCGTTTACGATGCGGAGGCTATATTATCAACCTTGCAGCTCAATCAGCCTTGGCCTACAAGCCTAGCGCGTCTATAAAGAGGAAGTTGAATGAGGATGCCCTTAATGACGAGCGAGTTGAGGATGTTGCCAGGCAGAACGACCGGGACACTCAGTTGCTTGCCACCGCTTTTAACCTAGTTGACCCACAAGACGAAGGGTCTCTTTAGGTACAGCAGGCTGAGTGGAGGAAAAGAAGCAAATGGCAAGGCCCATAACATCGTCAACTACATCTGTGCTTCAGACCAGCGGAGAGAACTTTAGAAAGGCTCAGAAGGAGGTTGAAGGTCAGGCAGAGGTTAAGAAGATCTTCTCGCTAGTCTGTGACGGCGGTGTGCGTTGGAACTCATCATATTGTATGATACACAGGCGTAAGTTTTGTGTTGGAGAAACACTAAGGCTACTGCATTAAGTACTAATTCTGATACAGTACTTAAGCTTCGAAAGTCAGTTGACTTCTACCTCTTTGAACTCGAACAAGCTGGCGACGAGCTTGTAAGCAATGACCGGCTTACGGCCGCTGACTGGGACACGCTTACCGCGATCGAAGCACTGCTTAAGCCACTTTACCTAGCAACAAAAGACTAGAAGGCCAGAAGGTGAATATCTCGACATGGCTTGATGAGATTGAGAAGCTCCTCGAATACTATGAACAGTGGACTGAGCGAAGCAAGAGACAGCCCCAGCCAAGTAAGGAGGTAAAGCAATTTGCAGCTTTAATCTGGGCAAAGCTCGACTTCTACTACAGGGTTTCAGACCAAACACCAGCCTACACTGCGGCCCGGATCCTTAACCCCAACATCAATTGGCGAGGTCTTCAGAAACGATGGGAGGGTCAGTCTAGATGGCTTAGTGGCGCTCAAAAGCGTTTTGAAACGCTGTGCAAGTCCTACGATACTAGATCTATCGGTCCTGACGTTGCTGTAGAGCCGTCAACTGTTACTAGAGCTACTCAAGCTGCTCAATCGCAGGCCAATGTCCTTATCCCAGAGACTCAATTCGATGACGACCTCCTCTTCTCCGACGACTACGTTCCTTCTGAGCCTGACACGGAGACGCTCGCACAAGAGCTTGACCGTTACTACACAACACCAAAGGTACCACGGCGTGATGGCATCGTAATAGATAAAGTCACTGGCAAACGCAAGGTTGTGAAGGAACCAATAGATCTTATCACTTGGTGGCGCAATAACAAGGAGCGCTTTCCTACACTGCATAAGGTAGCGCTTGATATCTTTGCTGCACCAGCAATGAGTTCAGACCTAGAGCGTCGATTCAGTGAGGCTTCAAAAACGTGTACACCGAATAGGAGCTCACTATTAGGGTCTACGTTAGAGAGGAATCAGGTCCTTAGGTCTCTCATACAGGAGGGTGTGGTACGAGAGCGTCGGGTAGCAAACATTGCTGAAACTGAATACTCTGACATTGATTCTGAGGACTCTGATTAACTGCTTCTGTATATAAAATCTCATCGTAATGTATCACTGTAGAGGCTGTGAGTCACTGGCGTACGATTAGTATATCTATTGTTCATAAATGCGTTTTGTTTAATTCAACAAGTATCGTAGCAAGTTCGCTAGCTAGGAGATGACTTACTAGTACAAGAAATCGGGGTCTATCTACCCCGCAGCGGGGTATCAATTCAAATCAAGTTATCCAAATCAAATCAAATCAAAATCAAATCAAATCAAATGCTTATGTAATCAAATCAAATCAATCAAATCAAGTATTGCTTTGATTTGATCCGTTGCGAGCCCTGAGGAAGGGTGGAATCGACCACCCCATCGCGTTGATGCTAGCAATAAGCGTTATCTACTCACGGTCGCCAGGTTGAACTCTAAGCGGCTTAGTACGCCTCTTAGACGCTGTCACCACCTTAACAGACCCTCTAACGCCTATCTAAAAGCTAGTCTCGTTAAAGTTGTAGGTGCAGTGTGTCCAATAACCAAGTAACTTGGCTTGGTTGGTTGACTTTGGTTGATTACGTAACAAGCAACCACGAGTAAACGTCTATCCGAGCAACCACAAGTAAGGGTTTTCGCATTACTCCAGTCAACTCGGAGTTGGTTGACGACCTTACCGCATTAGGCATATTTGTAGAGGAGGTGGGCGACCGGAGTTTTTTTGGGCATCGGGACAGGAAGAACTATTAGCCTGGATGTTCTGATTGGCTGGAAATTGCCGCTCTTGAGATTTGCTGTCGAAAACTCTCACGCCTGCAGCCTCTATGTACGAAACCGCCAGATTCTAGGTTAAACATGCCTACCCACCCATTTTTTCTGCCTCGTAGAGGATCCACGTGTTCCCCCCTACCTAGGACTCCCTTTAAATCCCTTAGCTATAACCTAGAAAACATAGAGACCCCAAGTTCCGTTTCCACCAATACTGCTGCCACCTTCGAAAGAGAGCTGCCGACATCTACTCAATGCCCTTTCCCTATTGACTGGGACAAAATTCGCTATGAAAGGAAGGTGTTGCCGTCGATTCAATATCGTCAGCCTCATAAGCGGGCCCTCAACTCTAAAAACCAGCCCTCGCCAATTTACAAACACGGTGCGCAGCTCACAACCGATGGAGAAAACAAGTTCTGGCTCTGCAAATACTGCCATATTAGTGGCCAGCATGATTCTGCGCTGTACAGTAATGAGAGTACTACTAGTATCATGTATCACCTAAAGAATCAACACAAACTTGAAGAATTCAGTTACAAAATGATGGCATTAAACCCGTTCGATATGGCCAAGGGAGCAACGAACTCCATACCATACCTTGGAGGCCGGCGCTTGATGTTTAACGACTCTCAGTTCAAGACCGAGTTTATTGACTGGGTTATTGATCTTGACTTCACCTTTCGACAAGCGACACATCAACGCACTCGTTGAACGAAATCGGCTCGATTTAGAGACTGTAGCGGCAATTGAGTGTTAAAAGCACCTTCTTCGAACTGGTATGCTCCTGTAGATGAGTATAGATATCAAATCGGGAAATTCTATCGAGTAATGTCAACCAACCAAGCAAAGTAAGGGCTTCTCGTCAACCAACCAAGCAAGGTAAAGGATTCTCGTCAGCCAAGTCAAGTAAGAGGGTCGATTTTTGGTTTACTTGGTTGATGGACACACTGTGTAGGTGTCTTCGTCCTGAATACTATACTTAGCTTTGACATTGCGTACAAGGTTAAACTAGGGACTAATTATCGCTGGATTGCTGCATAGAACTCTCTAGTGATCGCGCTGCCTAGTGATTTGAGATTTAATCTTAGGCTTTCGGCGTACGAGGTTCCTGGCCCATTTCTCTCCAACCTGGCCACCGCCACGAGCAGCTAGCAGCTAGTTAGCCATTTCTCGTACATAGCTAAGCGTAGGGGCAAAGCCTCGTTCATCGAGCTTCCTTATGTACTGTACAATCATCTGCTCTTCGTGCATTTGAAGCTTCGATAAGTTAGGATGAGAATCACGTCGTGAGGTGGTTTTGGCGCGTCGCGTCTGAAGGGTGCTTTTAGACACATTGTAGATGATAGCAGCACGTCGCTGGCTTAATGACGCGTTGGATTTAATAGACTAGATAGCAAGGATGATCCTGTCTTCACGAGGAAGCAGCTCAAGATTAGGTTGTTGAGACATGAGGATAGAAGGTGGATAAGACGTAGTCTTGGCACGGGTGCGCAGCTCGCTTGCCTGCGCAGCTCGATTGCCGCTCACGTTATAACTTATTCCACTGTACCCTCAGTGGAATTCTCAGCCAATAAGCAGCGTCGGAGCACGACATCCCTGGCTAGCGCCCCGCCTCATCAAAACCACTCGGCTACTCCCGCCTTACCTCCCCAAACTATGATCTAGAGCTACAGTAAGCTAGCATTACACGGCAAATATAACAGGCTTGTAGTAAACATCTCGAAAGCCTAAATGCCCAGCACATTGTACATCGATTGCCCACTGGTTCGACTACTCACTACAGCGGATGGTATCATACAAGGGCCGATTAACAGCTCTCAACCGATCCACCAGATCCTTGAATGGAAAAGGCATGTAAGTATCGCCCAACAGACCTTCGAAAAACAGGGCAAGGGAAATGGTCCATCCTTCAAAAGGGAAGTCTATGTGTGATCTCGGTCCCAAATCATGAAGCATAGCTACACGATCTTCAAAGGTCCCTTGGGCCGCTAACTCTTGAAGGGGATCCTCACGAGGCGACGGTGTGACACCAGAGGAAGCCGTGCGCGTTTTGATAAGACTTTCCCAATGGTCCAATGCCCGGTTGAAGTTTCTGAACTCAACCTCCAAGTCACTGTACGGTTTGCGATGGGGACTCATCGCATAAAGCTTCCTTGTAAGCGGTATAACCTTGTGCAGTATGCCAGTGAAATCTGGCTCATTATTCAGGTAACGACTGAGGTCAAGTTGCAGCTTCCGCTTCATTTGATCGGCTCCAGATAGGCCGTCTTCATGGACGTCAACGTTGTTTTCGTTGTTGTCGACCACGTCTGGTGCTGTGGTATCGGTGGTGGTGACGGTCGGCAGATTGATACCCGCGGTTGACATGGATTCGGGACTCTGTTGAGGAGACCGAGTGTGCGATCGACCCTGTGGAATGTCTATCCTTCGGCGTTTGAATCCGTTGCTTGTCGACTGAGGGAAGTCTGCTTCCGAGCCTGTATGTATGTAGCTCGTAAAAGAGAAGGTGTCGACTGAATCGTTTGAGTCGTCTGAGCGTGCTCTACTCCTGGATCGGTTGCTGGCTGCTTTTGTTTCTGCCTCCACCATCGCTGCAGAACGATTTCCTCGGCGTTTTATGCGGGACGGCGCGAGACCGGATGTATCTTGAGAGTCTTTTCGCTGAGCGAGCTCAGACTGGTGCGAGCGTGGTTGTGATGCAGGTACTGCTGTGGACACTGATGATAGCTGTTTTTCTTGCTCCACCGCCACCGAAGGAACGCGTCCTTTCTCTTTACAAGGGGCGTTGATCTTAGTTTGTATAAGAGCAGCCATCCAGTATCGAAGATTCAACCGGATACTGTTGAGATCAGTATTCTATTCGTAGACACCTATGGGCTATCAAGGTTTACCTGTCTTCGTCATTGATCTCATATCCAGAGTCTGTCTTAACGCCCCACTGAGGGCGTGAACCGGGAAGATTGCTCTGTAGTCGTATCTCGGCCCCGTTATCTTTGCTCCATATGCGCCACCCGAAGCCTAGGTAGTCGAGTATATATGAAGCGTCCTCCTCGAGAAAGGCGCCGCCACACACCTTCTCAGCGGGCAGACCCTCGTGCTTGGCGAATTTATTGACCACCTTGTCCATACACTTTTTGAGTTCGATAACATCTTTGTCCAGAAATTTGGGAAATGGTTTGCGATCATCCTCCGCGACCAGCCACAGCCTCCGGATGTACAATTTGGGATCTTCCGCCTCAACACCTGGGAATCCAAGCAAATCATGTTTTTCTGGTTCGGTCGGCATTTTGTCTGTGCTTTGGTTGTATGTGTAGTTCTTCGTCCAAGTATGAAGAATGTAGTTCGAATCGAGCGGCATCCCTCGCAAGGGATTGGAAGTTCCTAGCGTCAGGTTCAGTAGGCGGTCTGACTGCTGCGCTGTTACTACGCGGCGTTCGCGGCAATTTAGTGGCACTACGAGGCAAGGCGCTTGTGAGAGGACATCTTTGTGGAACAAAACCGCTTAGAATGGGGTGTTTGCCGCGATTGCCACGGCCGAGCGCGCTTTATGTGGGACAAACAATCCCAAGCCAGGATGCCCGTTCGGCTTGGCACTCGGTCGAGCTTTGGCCACTGTGTCCGTGCGCATGATGCACAAATCGAAAAACACGACAACAGCGAGAATTTCACTTTTTGGAATTAACGTAGCACAACGCGCGCAAAACGTCCGCTAGAGACGGCTTTCGACTAGCCAGCACTCAGAAGTAGCGCCCACTGCTGCTGAGGCGCCATGGCGACACCGTGGCCCCGAAGGTCGACCTGGCCGATCCCAATAGACGAGCATGCTACCAACCTCAGCGCTTTCCTTCGCGAGGTGCTATCCTTGATCGAGCGCAACGGAGGCCAGCAGCCTCTGCCGGCAGACATCGTTGGCGACATCATTCGCGGCGCATTGACGTTCGTACTGAAGACGCAGCACTCCCCTGACCTCGGTGGTCTCAGCGACGCGCTCAACGTCGCGCGGACCGAGGCAAGAGCGACAGCAGAAAGCACGGCGCGAACCCTCGACCAGATCAAGCAAGAGCTTAAGTCCACCGTAGAACTCGTACAACAGTCCGCAACAAAGATACAACAAAATGGCAACATGGCAGAAGAGGCGAGGGCGGCAGCCAAGGACGCCACAGAGGTGGGTAAAGCGACGCTGGAGATTGCGCGAGAGATCAGGAACAAGAGACCACAAGAGCAGGCGAACGGACCAATGAGCTACGCTGCGGCGGCAGCCAGGGGAGTCCCGTTAGCAGGTACATACAATGCACAAAGTGTCAAACAGCCATCTGCGCAGACGCAGCGTGAGGTCATCATGAATATTAGAGATCCCCTTACCGTACAGAGCCTGAGGACTATGAATCCTAGCAACCTCAAAATGCATGTCCAGCGTGCCATCGAGCAAAGTGGCAATGAAAACATAGTCGACGTGAAGATCGTCTCATCTAACCAGCTGAAGAGCGGAGACCTGAGCATCAAGACAGCAAGCAGCAGGGAAGTCGAGGCGCTACGACAGTTCGCGGACGACTGGGCCCACCGCATAGGCAGTGGGACTACAGTGCAGATCCCGACGTTTGGCGTCCTCGCACACGGCATACGCACGAGCACGATGGACATGAGCAAGCTCGACGAGATCAGAGCGCAGATACTGCAGGACAACCGACCGTTCATACCCCGGGCCGAGATAAGACACATAGGCTGGCTTACTAGAGATGCTACCACCAAGACGGCGACAACTATCACCATCGAGTTCACCAAACCAGAGGACGCCAACAAGATCATCGACGAGGGTCTGATCTGGCAAGGTGAGGTTTTCCAGTGCGAGCGATACGAGCGACAGTGCCGAGTGAAGCAGTGCTTCAAGTGCCAAAGATACGGCCACATAGGAACCCAGTGCAAGGCAGCAACAGCATGTGGCCACTGTGCGCAGGAGCACGACACCCGAGACTGCCCATCGAGGGCCGGACAAGCCGTGACTAGGAAATGTGCCGCCTGCCGCGGCGAGCACGAAGCGTGGAGCCGCCAGTGCCCGACCAGGAAAGACGAGATAGCCAAGGCAAGGACCGCGTACGAGATGCGACCGCGCTACCACCACGTTTCGCAAACAGCCGGACAAAACGTGCAGATTGATATCCCGACGTCTACGATTCAAAGGAGAAGGACTAGTCAACAAGTGGCAGCTACGCAGCCGATGCAGCTTACCAGGAACCGATCGCAAACAGGAAGAGGACAGAAGAGAACCAATGCAGGAACCAATGTCGACTCGATGGGTCAGGAGATCTCATCAACACAGGGCAGCGCAGAGCCAAAGACCGCATCGACAGATCATACCTAGCAGGAGAGCTCTGGAATCGACTGGACTCAACACCCGGGCGATACAGAACAGCAGTCACCACATGGAGATCGACTCCGACGATGATACATGAATAAGCACAACACACTAAGCATACTACAGTACAACGTGCACAAATCAAGAAACATGGTGATGGCGAGCATGCTGCGGGACCCCAGGATCCATGAGTACGACATTCTGGCCATCCAGGAGCCATGGAGAAACCCCTTCGCGGCGACGACACACCATCCAGCGAAACTCGTCTTCCACCTTTGCTGCCCAGCAGGAAACGAGGCAGGACCCGCCCGGGTATGCTTTTTTATCAACAAGAGATTAGACCACAAGAAGTGGCAGTTTAAGGAGCACAGCAGAGACATTTGCTCGCTCACAGTAGAGTTTGGCGACGATCAACAGGAGGAGCAAAACGTAATCATACACAACATCTATAACCCAGCGAGGCGCAGCGAGAGTGACAGTACCGTACTGGTGGACGTCCGCACAATACTGCACAACAACCAATCCAGCGAGCAGATCCTGCTCGGCGACTTTAACCTGCACCACCCCATGTGGGGAGGCACAGACGTGAGGCACATCGACCCTGAGTCTGCAGACCTACTGGCGATCATGGAGGACTTCAACCTGGGTAGCACACTACCACCTGGAACCATCACGTACGAAGAGAGAACCTCAAGCACAACCATTGATCTTTGTCTAGTGACCGTGGGGCTGGTCGACCGGGTGGTTCGAAGCCAGGTCGACCGGGACCTCGATCACGACTCCGACCACCTGCCTATTAGCACTGTGATAGATATGAGGATACAGCAACTCGATGCAACACCAAAGCGAGACTGGAAACGATTAGATGAGGCCGTCTATAACAAAGCGCTAAAACAAGTCCTGCCGCCACTTCGCAGACCCGCAAATAAGACAGCGCTTGATACGTATGTCCAAGAGATCGTTGGGGCAATTCAAGGGGCCATTGACAAAGCAATACCATACTCACGGCCGTCAGACCGCATCAGGGAAGGTTGGTCAGAAGAGTGCAGGGCAGTGCTCGCAGAAGCAAAGAGACTCAAGAGAGTACACAGCCAGCGTCACACAGGCGAGTCGTAGGAGGCCTATCGTGTGGCAAGAAACCACAAAGCAAGAACGATCAAGAAAGCACTAAGAAACGCTCACAGAGAACAGGTAGAGCAGGCCGCGAAGTCGCCAGAAGCACTGTGGAGACTCGTCAAATGGGCGAAGACGAGAGAGAATCCGGCCCCGGTGGTCACACCTGCCATCCAACACCCAGAGACGCAGCAGGAGGTAACAGATCCGGCCAAGAAAGCAGACATCTTCCGAGACACCTTCTTTCCAGTACCACCGGAGGCAGATCTGGAGGACATAAGAAACGCACACTACGACAATCAAGTGGACATGCCGCCAATGACAGAGAAAGAGGTCGGAGATGCCATACGGGCAGCGTCACCACTCAAAGCACCAGGTCCGGATGGCATCATCAACAAAGCCCTGCAGGCGGGATCAGCCCAGCTTGCATCTCACCTGACGAGGATCTTCAACCAGAGCCTACACCTAGGATACTGCCCGGCCCACTTTCGCGAGTCGACTACAGTAGTCTTACGCAAGCCAGACAAAGACGACTACACGGCACCGAAGTCGTACAGGCCCATCGCATTGATGAACACCACAGGCAAAATCATGGACGCAGTCATAGCACGGCGACTCAGCTACCTAGCCGAGACCTATCACGTCCTACCGCCGACACACATGGGCGGCAGGAAGATGCGCTCGACTGAGCACGCTCTTCACGCCGTGACCCATAAGATATACGAAGCATGGAGCCACAACACTGGACGGGTGGCGAGTCTCTTGCTGCTCGATGTCTCCGGAGCCTTCGATAACGTCTCACACACACGCCTGCTTCACGATCTGCGGAAGAGACGAGTAGACGAGAAAACAGTAAAGTGGATCGCAAGCTTCCTCAGCAACAGACACACCAGCATCGCAATCGACGGCTTCCGGTCGATAGCATACCAGATCAACACGGGTATACCCCAGGGCTCGCCGCTATCGCCTATCCTCTACCTCTTCTACAACGCCGATCTGATAGATGAATGCAACCAAGCGCCAGACGCCATGTCCACAGGCTACATTGACGACGTCGGCATCCTTGCGTGGGGCCAGACGACAGAGCAGACGTGTGAGACACTGGGCAAAATCCTTGAGAAAGCACAACGATGGGCACACACACGCATCGGTCTTCGCCCCAAACAAGTTCCAACTCACCCACTTTACAAGATCACGCAAGCGCATTAACACAGAGGCCTTAATTCATACCGCGTGGGGCGAGATACGGCCCGAAGCAACATGCAAATACCTGGGCTTAACGATGGACGCGAAACTGCACTGGAAGCAACACACCGAGGAGATCAGGCGGAAAACGACGAAGACAGTGAATGCGCTCAGCTGTCTGGGAGGATCCAACTGGGGCGCTAGCCTCCACGACCTGCGGCGAATATACGAAGGCACAGTGCTCCCGCAGATGATGTATGCATGCTCAGTGTGGTCAAACGCTAGCATAAAGGAAAACTCTACACTAAGAGGATGCTCAACACACTGCAGAGCATACAAGCAAGAGCAGCCAGGGTCATCAGCGGGGCATACAAAGCTACATCAAGAGCGGCACTAGACGTAGAGACATTTCTCCTCCCCATCGAGCAGCAAATATGGAAGCACAACTCATACACTATCGTCCGCCTACTCTCGAGCAAGAACATCGCAGCCACCTCAGGATTTCAGACAAACACAGCACAGCCGACAGTCCCAGACAAGACTCGCAGAACACCAGCTCCTGGCAGAAGGTCTACAACGACATAACGAGCATGCGAGACCCAAGACTTCGACAGGCAAGAGCAGATTCCGTGCTT